CGATTTCGTCGTCTCTGAGAAGTAATTTTATTTACAAGAAAATATATTCGTTCTCTTTGAAAACGTGAATATCTAATCGCTCGATTTCGTCGCCTCTGAGAAGTAATTTTATTTAAAAGAGAATATTTTCGTTCTCTTTGAAAACGTGAATATCTAATCGCTCGATTTCGTCGTCTCTGAGAAGTAATTTTATTTACAAGAAAATATATTCGTTCTCTTTGAAAACGTGAATATCTAATCGCTCGATTTCGTCGTCTCTGAGAAGTAATTTTATTTAGAATAGAAAATATTCGTTCTCTTTGGAAACGTGAAAATCGTTTCGATCTTGGTTGCTCCGTCGGTAACGTAGGAATCGAAGTGATGATAAGCGCGCTTCGGAAGGAAGAATCCAGAATCCAGAATCCGTGGCGGCGAACCGGTTTTCCGTCCAAGGAAATCCGTTTCGCGTGACATTTCACTCACGGATCGCTGCCAACTCGTGCATGCCTGAAGAAATCGTGGCCGATCCCTCGATCGATCGGCCAACTGTTGCGCGATTTTCACAAAAGCGATCCCAATGTTTTCGAGCAAACTTCTTCGAGTCTCATCCATCACTTTTTCCCCTCCTTCCTATCCATTATTTCTACGCTGTTTTTACAACATCTTCACGATCTCGAAAACGTTGAACGTGTCATAATTTCCAACGATTTCCATCCGATTGGGAATTTCTATTTGATAATCGCGGTTCATGAGCCATCTTCTCTGGAAAGGCAAGAATGTTTAAGAAGGTTGCAGAAAGTTGAACGATGTCTATGGTTTCGTAATTCACCTTAATGGAAACCTCTTGTTCTTCTTATTGAGACATGGAAAAGACGTGGAAAACGAGGATGTGATTTACTTAGGAGGAAATAAGAGGGGGCCCCCTGATAAATCATGGATGTTGGGGCACAATTTTTGGTCGAATTTTGATCGAACGCATCGATTGTATGAAATGGAGTAAGCACAGTTTCCTTCCCATTTGTATAAATATTTGATCCCCAGGTTCAATTCTTTGCGCGTATATCTTTATCATTATTTTCTTTTCCTCTTTTTTTGCGAAATTTATACGTAATATTTCTTAAAGATTGTAGCGTAAACTCTGGAGAACGTGAGCGAAATTTTATTATTACACTGTATGAGAGAAGTTTTTTAGTTTCGAATCGTGAGATTCCATCCATTTTTAACATAATACGAGATGAAAATACGATAATTTCGAAAAAGGGATGGACAAAAATTATAAAATAACTATTCAAAAGGAAAAAGAGAATCTAAAGTATGATCTATCATTATAACGATACTAAGAAAATAAATAGAATAGAGAAAGCTAATTTAAACAATAACATGATACAATATTATTAACAAACAAATATTAGATTAAAAAATAATTACATAAATTCTTAAAGAAATTAAATAAATTATTATAACTATAAATATATTTATTATAATATTTGAAATCTTTAAATTACATAAATTTAATATCAAAACTATAAATTTTCCTCTAAAATATTTCAATTATAGTTTTTTCAAAATAAACTTCATATTCAAATATCAATAAAGTATATTTATAAAAATTATCCTAAAATCATCCATAATAAAATTATTTTAAATACTATAAATTTATAAATTAATATTAAATTTATTCTACACAAATTAAAATTTATTAAATTAAATATTAATTTTCTATAAATTATACTTAAAATTATCATTAATAATATCATTCAATTTATAACTAAATCTTCATTTCTATAAATTATATTAATTATTTTAAAAATATTTTTGTTTTTATTTGTTAATTTAAACGAATTAAATAGTTTCCAAAACTCGTTTCACTTGTTCAATTCCAAATTGATTAATTTCATTCTCCAATCCACCATCCATTACCGAAAAGCGAACATCTCGAATAATTACAACGATCGATCGATCGTAAAATTAAAATTATTCGGTCAAAATTCGAATCGAATCTTTTTCTATAATTCGTGTGATTATGATCGATAAATCCACAAGAACGAACTGGCCTGCTTCCAAATATAATTTGTCTTGTCACCTCACCCCTATATTCAGTGTCGAAACGTCGTTGCCTACTCGGTTGTGGCACGCGTAAATGGCTCTCTCGATCGCTAAACCAACTTTCGACGCGTATGGGCAATGATCGCTGGCAAACGAAACCGGCCGCCTTTTTATTCTTATTCGACAAATAATATAAATTTATTTTTATTACATTGAATGTAGCGAATCGAATGCTTATCGGTGTCCATTGTTCGGTATATAACGAGGATGAGAATGAATTTTATTCGAGGAATGGAAAGGTGTGGAATTGGAGTTGGAGGATATTTTTCGATCGAAAATATCTCGATGTCGATTCGTGTTAAATTATCCTTCTTCTTTATTTCCTTTTATCTCGATCATACGGCGTACAACGAAGGGATTATTTCGAGTGTTCTTTGTTTTCGCTAGAAGAGAAAGGAAAGTAACGAGAGAATTAATTCCAGCAGAAGGTTCTTCTTTATATGAGATGCGACAATGAGTAAGCCAATACTCGACGCGGTGTCGATTTTTCTTTGATGAAAAAACTTCGTTCGAGGGATAGGTGGATCGTATGGAGAATCATACGAGTTCTCCAAACTTTTCAAATCCCAATCTCGATTAATTTGTACATCGACAATTTCTTCCTTTCCTCCTCGTTGAAATTTTTTGTTAGAGAAAAGGAGAGGTTTTTTGTTTGTTAAAAATAAAGTTTCGAGTTTTTCTTTTCCCCTCTTCATCTTTGCGTGGCAAAGAAAACCATTTGTTTCTCTCGTTAATAATAAATTCCAAGGCGAAACCAAATAGAATCTTGATTGAAAATAAAAAATAACAAATTTTTCTCTCGCAATTTTCATTATTCTCATAATTGAAAAAACTTATCCTTTCTAATTTCTTCCCAATATCGAAAAAGCGTTAATTTAATCAACGATTTTAGATCAAAAGAGGAAAAATAAGAGAACAAAATTCTATCCAAAAAATATCCCTTTAATTCAAAATAAGAGACACGATTTTGGCTGAGAAAAAATTGAAGATGAATTAGGAAAGAATTGAAATTGAATTGAAGATGATCGACGTTTAAAAAAAATTTAAATAACTTTCGAATCACTAGAATGATGCAAAGTCCATCCTCTATCATTCAACAATTTCATTCACAATTCACAATTTTCACGATTCCATTTCTCCTTTCACGTTAAAAAAAAAGGAAAAGAACCCATTCTTTTATTTCTTCCTTTCTTTCTTCCTTTCGAATAAAAGTATTTACGGTTTCTCTGACGTATGTGTACACGATACAGCATGTCGATAACGCTTTTCGACGAAGATGCATGGAGCGGTGGCCGAAGGTAAATAACATTTTACAGATACCGCGATCGATGCGCCCTCAAAGAAAATCTCTCACAAGGGAGAGTTTAGCCCCTTATCCCCATTCTCTATCTCGTTGGATGGTTGTTATCGT